ACTGGATAGCAAGTGGAAAATCCACTATCTAAATGAAGCATACTCACTCAGCAGGCCACTGAAATTGGAATCTTTATCACTGGCATTTCTAAATGTAATGGCTGCATGCATATTCCTTTAAATTTGGCACTCCAGTGCTTTATTCTTTTCATCATGTCTAGAGTATGAGATCAGAACATAAAAATAGCTTCTTGCATCACCTTTTTCTCAGAAGCCCATTCAAAAACAGAGTATCAGAGCCAGTACGTAAAACTGAAGTTATCACATAAAAGTTACTTAAATATAGACAGGTTTCAACAAATTATCTCCAACAAAAAATGGAATAAATGCTGTTAAACAGGGTGCTCCACACAACATTCTATGTCCCAGCTGAATACCTGCTCCCACCAACACACATATAGTTACAAAAGCTTGACATGAATTGAACCCTGCATTAATCAGAAAGAAAAAGAACATTCTTCTTCTTTTAGTTTTCATTTGGCAACTTTTGCAAGAGTTGCATACATTAGCCTCTAATTAAGCACTTCTTGGCACTACCTCAGTGCTTTTTCGATAAGTGGCATTTATGTTAATTCTATCCTTATTAAGCAGATGTCTTTGCCATTCACTGTCATTAGGTTATCTGGGTAGATACCCCAATAAAACAGTATGCAAATTAAATTTAACCCGATTAAAAGGAGTTTATGGTAATCATAACACCTTCCAATAACTTTTTCACAGTAGGAAATACCATTTTCTGAGAATAAATCTGAGCTCTAGCACTTCAGCTGGAGCAATAGTGCTAGAAAATCATCATTCAGAAGCCCCACTAAGGCAGGGATGCTGTCTGCAAAATGGGGCTAGGGCAGTTGGAGACTGTCATGCAAGGGGGACTGTGACAATGAAAGGAAGGAACAGAAGAGAATGCACATGGTCATAGAATTGGTTTGTTTAGAGCAAAAAGTTCTGCACAGTGCTAAGCATGCAGTTCTTCTGCCCCAGACCATCATCACTATATATCAGAACAGCACCATCCTCACAGACACCATTAAATGGACCATTCACCTGTATAGGGATTCACCATATCAGGGATTTAAGGAATATGGATTGCTGTGGAACATTATGGTAAAAGCTAAAACTAGCTTTGAAAATAAGGAGAACTTAATTAGAAACAGCTAAAAGAGATTTAATGTATTTAAAATTAAGATCCACTACAGTGTAAGTATATTTTGTGGACAAATATATTAGCAGTCCCCCAAAATGTCAGTGTAATTATAGAGGAAAATATAGTTATTCTTTTTTGGGTACATTATTACAGGCAGCAGTACATAGAAATCAAAAGACAAATTAACAAAGATTTGGAACAATAAACACCAGTCTCAAACTACTTAATATGAAGCAACAGTAAATTGCATTCAGTAGCCTATAACAAAATGCTTCACAGGACTAGGATGACAAATTAATATCATGGCATAAAGCTGAAAGGAGAATTCATAGAATTGGTAATTGACACTGTTTACTGAAACCTCCAAATTACAATAATACCAAATAAAAAAACACACTGCAGTCATTATGGGAATAATGCTTACTACAAAACAAAACCTGAGATTTAGACAAATCTGCAGGTGGAAAAATCGAACGCTAAAGACAAATGGTAATATTTTTTACCTAAGCAATTCGTGCTATCCCAGATTTCCAGTTTTATTTGACATATGCTTTTCTGAACACAGGAAAATAAGCTGTATGAAAATACTTTCTGCCAGAGTGGCCGACATCTCAGAAATCTGTCCATAAAAGAATTTACATGAAAATCTCTTAAGTTGGGCCAATATTCCTGTAACTGATATTAAAAATGGTCAAAAAAGATACATTATTTAAAAAAAAAAATTCCTATTAAAATAAATGTCCAAAATACTAACTTATATAAATTTTGTAGGTAATGGAATTGCTACTGCAGAGATGAAAATTTGAAGAAACATTATAGAAATATGCTACAAGTTAATAAAAATAATAGAGCTAAAAAAAATACAAATCAAATTTATATTTGTCCCTAGCTTGCAAGAATAAGAATAAGAAACAGTAAATTTTGAAGTTTTTTAGCTGTTACTGGTAACTACAGAAAAATGTAGTAGGAATAAAAAAAAAAAAATCTAGATGAGTTTGTTCTCAAAGATGCCAACGGTAGTTGAAAATGCAGTATATTTTGAGTTTTCTATTTTGTTCTAATACTGTGGAAGTTAGAACATCATTAAAGTGATTCTCTGCTGTTGACTACTGAAAGCACACACAATGCTGTGGCAATATGATCCTGAGGCTGTTCTCATTTATGCCAGGTACTGGCTGGTTGCGGAACTGGAGAAGTAGGAGACAGACATGTTCAGGCTGATCTAACAACATGCACAGCTGCATTTTTTTTATTTCTCCTCTCCCTCCCCCATCCTCCATTTCTCCTCTGCATAGCCATTTCTGCATCACAGATTGTCCATACGGGATTTCACACATAATGGTCAGCTCTTCAGCTGTTTTAAACCAAAATACCATAATTAATACTGGGTTATAATTGTAACTGACAACCAACTCTGAAAAAGGGTACAAAATGAATAGCAGTTTGAAGCCATAGCCCTTCCTGCACAAAATACCCTATTCATTTCAGCCACCTGCTGTCTCCCAATACCCTTGACACATAAGTATCTCATTGCTCTCAGCATACCTACGTCCTGGCCAAGCTCTCTATCCTACCTGTGCTGCAACTTCCCACCTGCACTGTCATGCTGCACTGTAACCCAGCCTGGACACAGTTTATCTTACTGGCACTGTGCCCATCATTTCTGAGTGGGACGTACAACCTGAAAGTATCCGACAGACTGGTGAGGAAGGGTACAAGGAAGTGTCATGGAGCAGAAAGACAGCTACCTTCTGCACTCCAGAAATCTTTCTCTTCCTATTACCCTCCAAAAATACTTTCCATAATAGCCAAGGAAAATATGTTGCTAACTGTAAAAGCAATTGGAGAATAATTCAAATTAGTTTTAAACCAATTATCTCCCGTAAACCTGGTGAATAAAAGGCAACAAACCCCACAGTATTGGTTAGGATCCCCTATACCACCTTTAAATCTATCCATGTTTAGGTTTTCCACTGTGTTGATTGTACCTCCTGGCCTATCTGCTAAAATTATCCACTGTATTCAAGATTACCTTTCAAGTTCAATTCCATATAAGCAGTAGCAGCAGTGCTCTTCTGGGGGATGCGGGGTGCGGAGAGACTGATGTGACAAGATAACTGATGATTGGTGATAGCATAGGCATTTTGTCTGAAAAAAAGGGGCTTACAGTACTCATGGTAATAAAACATCTTTAGCCTCTATGGTCTAATCAGTCATTTGTTTCAATACTGACACATCATGCAAAAATCTTTCAGCTAATCTCAAGTAAAAGCTACTGTAAGTCACAGAAGTAGACAGATTGTTATAAAATTATGAGTTTCCACAAGATATAACCTATTGTACATGTACTGGAAGGAATATTCTTGCAAAGAATGACTACAGGTCAAGAAATGAAGTACAACACATATTTAAGATAAAAGCTATCAGCAGCTATGAGAGAAGTGTAGATTTGTTAAAGATGGGTGAAGCACAATTGTCCTTGAGTGCTAATGATGTACTCATTTTAAAAGTATATTTCCAATGCTTGTTCACTGTTAGTTTCATAAAATTCAAGGTGAAGGTATTAATTGATTATATGTTACTGTGAAAATGGCTTTTACAATTTATTTTATATTATTTTCTTTGTAAGAGTTCTATCTGAGTATTCATTAAGTTGCATTGCAGTAATTTTTTTTTCTTTTTCTTTTTTGAAATAGTTACTGGAAAATACTCTCCAATCTAGGATAATCAATTCAGGGGTCAAATTTTGCTGCTTCTTTCACACCATGCATAATATCTAAATCTAAAACCAGTTAGGAGTGACTTCAGTGAGATCATATACAAGGGTGGCATTAAATTGGTATACGGTAATAAAGCTGTCTACAAACAATAAAAAGGAAGTAGTCTAATGAAGGCAGCATATTTTGAAAATGTATGCCATTTAAGCAATTTAGGGCTCTGGCAAATAAGTGCTGCAAAATCTTGCTGAAGGGATTTATGCAGTCACCAGACCAACCACCTATCCACTTTCTTTTTGGATATTACCACCTCTTTTACAGGGACAGCAGAAGTGGACATGCAGTGGACCTTTCATGTTATTCCCTTGCAAAAAAAAAAGCATATTTTTGCTACTCCAGCTGTTTCAGTTATTTACTTAATATAGGAGCTGTAGTTGAGATTTTATAGCCGTTGTGTCCAACTCCATACTGAGTAGCATATTGCATGGAAGGAAGGAGAAGCACCCCAGAATACCAGCTTTGACACATTAAAGTCTTGCTTAGCAATAATTCACTCATTTTGGCTTGAAGGGCTGAGGCCACAGTGTGATGGTGAGATACTAATGATATTGTGTAAACTATCTATATAGAACATTGACCCACTATTTTGATAAGCTAAATTCAGTTGATAGGTCACAGCAGAATTGAAAATCAAATTTCTGAAATACGAATGCCCATGTACATCTGGTCTTCAAGCCATCATTTGTTGGTTTTACATATTCTTACATACCAATAAATGAAATTAATAAAATACACTCTGTCCATTTTTCTATGTACAAATAATGTTTAAATGAGCAACTGATGTCTTTATTGTGATCCTTACCACCACCACCACTCTTGTGGAAGAAACCACATGCAAGAAATGGCAAAAGAAAACTTCCAAGCATCACTGCCTGTTGAAGCATAAACTGGGCAGCACACACGAATCCACAACCTGCAGTGCTACAGAAATTTACCCTATGGCATTCTGGAGAACATCTGCCTCTACATACCAGCCTCTTCTAATCTGCTGCCTCTTCATACGCTCTCCTCCCCCCAAAACCAACATCTGTTTCCTACCAATAGCTTTTAACACGCATCCTCTTGATGTCTTCTAACAGGAAACAGAAAGTGAGAGAAGTTCACTTTCATCAACAGCAACGAGTCAGCCTGGAGGCCATTCTGTCATTTCTCCGAAAGAGTCTAGCGTGAAAAGAGGGAGAGCAATCTTTGAAAAGATGTCATCACAAAATGGCCACAGCAACAGCTCTGAAGGTTAGCATTACCATGTTGATCTGATGTCTAGCTTTACTCTTAAGGCAGTGGTCTCCAAACCTTTTTGATGGTGCACCCCATCACTAAAACATTTTTGAGCATGCACTTCCAATGTTTATAAATGTATTTATTTACAAATTGTATACTTGTACTGCTCTACTAATACATTATGTATGTTAGGCAACATACACACAAATAGGTATTAAAGAAGGATGATGGATGAAATAAAAAAAAAAAACAAACCACTTTCCTTTAAAAAGTGTTTATTTACAAAAAATATTTTTTTCCCGCACCCCAATGGACTGTCTTGCACAGGCCCGGGGTGCGCACATCCCACTTTGGAGACTGCTGCTTGATGGTATCAAAGAGTGTATGTATCTGTGTTATGGTTTGTTTTAACAGAGAAAGAACATGGATGATAACATTTTCTGACAGAAAATCACATATTGACTTCTGAGTGTCTAGGACTTGACTTTATGTAAAACAACAGATTACCCAAATAAATAGCACAAAAAGACTTGTCCACTCTGCCAATAAAATTAATAAGCCATCTACACAGTATCAACCAATTACTGACTCTGGTCTTTTTTTGATCAGAAAATGTTTAGCCTGCATGTTTAGCAATTCCAGACTCTAGCAGATCAAAGGGAGAAGGAAATTTCAGTGCACAAGACCTTTTCTAGCTAATGTTGCTAAGTTTATTATGCTCATTGTTAAAACTAAATACCTGATCTTTTATCAGGTTTAACTTTCAGCCATTGGTTATCCTTTTTTCCTTTTTTTCCTACCAAATTAAAGAGATTTTTAACACCTGCTCATTTCTTCTTGGAAGGACAATTTTACATTATGACCATATCACCCCATATCCTTCTCCTCCATCAACTAGATACAGCTGCAGTTCTCCATGTGGGAGTATTTTTTTGTGTCTTTTCTCTACATCTTCTCAAGTTTTTTAGGTATCTTTTTTATAATATGGTTGTAAGGACCCCCCCTTTTTTTTTTCTTCTCCTGTTAGAGTCTCCTAGTTCAAAGCCTTTCTTTTTCTTCTCTAACAAGAGAATGTAATCCTGCATTCCATACCCACTTTGCCTCTGAGTCTAAATTGGGCACAGTATGTTTCAGAAGCATTTTTAGGTCCACCAGGAATAACAAAGAATATGAACTATGTAAAAATGCACAGTCAACAATTCATGCCTCTTACAAATGAAGCTTTTTCTAAAAATGTGACAGACCCCTAGGGGATAATGTTTTTCTATGCTCCTGTGAGAGCCATAATACCCCATTTTGCATTCAGACAGTCTTATGAGAAGTAAATTCCCTATAGACTCATTTGAGTGTTTGAAAACACTGGTGAAAACTCTTAAACTTCTAATAGCTGAAGTTAGGCACTGAAATCTGCAACTCTGCACTTGAATAAATATTCCAGTCCTGAAAAATATAAGATAATGCTGAGCCATAGATTATTTCTCCCATCACCATGAGATTTGAGTTTTCTATAACCAATGACAATATATGTCAACTTGCTTCAATTTTTCAGCAAGAACAATATCCTCAAACCACTAAAGTGCTATAGAACTTTTTGCTAAATGTTTCCGTTATGCCAAAATCTTATTTTCCTAGAAGAGGTATCGAGCAACATTTACAGCAAGCTCTGTGACTGGGTAACAACAAGTTCTGTTGTCTCTACTGAGAAACAATGAAGGCAATGCTCATACTGCTGTTCAACCTATTGTGAAAAAATGGAGAAGCCCATAACGGATAGCTAATGTAGTCATATCATTGGAAAAAATGGCAGAAAGCCAGAATTCTCCAGTCCTATTATGCACAGAAGATTTGTGAAGCTCTTTACTTTAAAGAATTGATGTAACATCATTAATAAAAGAATTAAATTCTCTGAAATAGATACTATTGTATGAGTCCCATATGACAAGGGCAAACAGCTTTTTGTTGGCATACCTCACCTTCGTAAACATAAGACTCTTCTTACAAACTATTTCATCACAAGCACACATTTATCCCTGAAAGACTCAGAAGATATTACACCTTTAAGTTCTCCTGAATGAGCAAAAACTTAGAGCAAAATGAATGAGCAAAAGCTTAGATCATATAATCTCTCATACCATCACAAAGAGTTTCACATTATACTGTAAAACAACTAGCTTCTAAAGAGAGGGCATTTCCTGTTTTAAAGCTAAGAGAATAGTTGGTATTACCTTCACTCCCCAGGTGGCTAATAATATGTATCTATTAAAATGTTTTTTAAAACAGTCCATTAAATTCATTGGCCCCAAATCAGCAAGGAATTAAATCACATGTCTAACTTTAAGCACATGAGTATTCCCATTGCATTTAATGAAACTATTCACATGCTTACGATTAGGTAGAATCCACGAATTCCTTGTTGAATCAGAACAATACCAATAAAGTTTTTAAACTCCTAAACACACTTGAGAATTAAAGCAATGGCTTATAAATATCATGCTGGTAGTAGTCTGTTACATAATTCAATCTGCCTTTAAAAGCAAACTGACACTGTTTGGCTATGGTGGACTATCCCTCTGTGTTGCCAAAACATAATTTCAACCTTTCCCTTGTTTTGGTTAGATTTGGTTTAATGAACAGACTTCTTACTTGAAAAACAGCAATTTTCTCTCTCTTCTGATTTCTGCTTTCTCTGAAAACCTTTTTTTTTCCTTCCAGATGACTTTCACTGATTCTTACTGCTGCTATTATTCTTTCTTGAGCTGTAGCAATTCTTTTGCCTATCACGATTGTATGCAATATGCAAATGTACTGCATGGGATAAGCGTAATAAAAAAGAAAATTATCCTCATGTAAGTTATGAGTAGGGTCAGGTAAAAATACTAAGAAACTGAGTATGTTTACACTGAGACCATTCTTCTACGCATGCCCGCATCTATGTCTGATTTTTACTGAAGATCAGAGTTGTTATATTTGCTTGCTATATCTGGACCTTGAACACCTATGCCAGACAAACAGTTTTACAGTGAACAGGCAGAAAGGCCAGATGTCCCTCGGAATTCTTCCCTGTTTGGTGGGATACCCCTTCCCTGGCACTCTGTTCTGTGGAGGTGAACAGATACCTTTTCGGAAAGTCTCTTTTGTTGCTGCATTTCATAGTGTTAAAAGGGAAAGAGCGGGTACTTCAAAAGAAAATGGGGAAATTTTTTATTTGTATCTGTTCTGTTCTCAGCCACTGCCTTAGTAAAACAATATAATAATCGAAAGTGAACCAACTTAGGTAAGAATAAATGTGATTGACCTGGCACGTGTTTTTGTAATGGATATAGAATCATAGAATCATTTAGGTTGGAAAAGACCTTAAGATCATCAAGTCCATCCGTCAACCCAACACCACTGTGCCCACTATGCCATGTCCTGAAGTGCCACATCTGCATGTTTTCTTAACACCTCCAGGGACTGTGACTCAACCACTTCCCTGAGCAGCCTGTTCCAACACCTGACAACCCTTTCAGTAAAGAATTTTTTTTCTAATATCCAATCTAAACCTCCCCTGGTGCAACTTGAGGCCATTTCCTCTCATCCTGTGACTAGTTACTTGATAGAATAGACCAGTACCCACCTCACTACAACCTCCTTTCAGGTAGCTGTAGAGAGTGATAAGGTCTCCCCTCACTATCTATAACAGTATGTGTTACAGTTAGGCTTCCAGAACAAGGAGTTGACTCTCACAAATGCTATACAGGCCTCAGGCCCTAAAACCAGCCACCAAGTTCCACCCTATATGCATGGCGATAAACCAAAATCAGTTGTGCCCCTCTACTTGCTCCAGGAAGGGATTCAGTGGAGCTGGTCTTCATGGGGTGGTGCATTTCAGGACACTGGGAATTTTGTCTTAAAAATCAACAACAACAAAAAAATGCCTAGGAGAGGATTTTGAAGATTTTCTTTTCTTTCTAAAGGAAATCTAATTCCATAAATGGTGTTGGTTTGCACTGATTAGTAGAAAAGGCAAGTGCACTCTAGTATGTCCTTGGTGTTTTATACGCACATTATGAGACAGCCAACACTGTACTAAGAGAAGTTACTCATTTCTTAGCAAAATTATGGCAAGCGAGTTGATTTGCTTAATTTAATAAGTCTTCAAATCATGAGCAAGATGAAAAAGCATAAATGAACTGTAGACAGTAAACATAAATATGTTATTTAAAAAAAACCAGCCCAGCCCTGTGCTGCGAAAAAGTGACAAAGCACACTCAGAATGAGGAAGACAAGCTGTCAGCAGTGCCAGAATATATAAGAATACAAGTAAATTTCCAATGGCTGGCAGTAAGCACACATATGAAGCTTCTTTTTTGACTTTCCTTTCTTTTTTGGAAATGGATTTTAAGGTTTTAGTTTGGGTACCTACTGGCTTGAATTAAATACATAAAACAGGAAGATGTATCTACACTGTTTCTTCCTGCCTCCTTCTCCCCTTTTTTAAGTCAGCAATTTCCACAACTTTGAGAAATGCCAAGATATATCATGCTTGGGTTGGGGGGACAAAGTAGGTTTTGGTGGGGTTTTTTGAGATAATTTTGTTCAGCTAGTCTGTTTCTGTACTTTCAGAAAATACAATTGTTTAAAAAAAAAGCAATGCAGGTTGCAACAAATTTATTCTGTCCTGTTATGCAAGGACAAGGAGAAATACAGATGGATTTAGGGAAAATCAGGGTGCTCTGATATGTGCAGCACAAGCACAAGGATTAAAAAATTAGATTCTGGTGGCTTTACTAAAAATATATCTTATTGAAGTCTTAAAATTCCCTCTCCTCCCAAAAAGGAAGGGGGTGTACTGGTTACAGAAATCCAATGTCATTCAACCCAATTTTCCATGCACTGTAGAAAAACCTTGGCAGGACAAGAGGAATTTCCAGCCTGTGGGATTATATGAAATCTCTTCTGCCTCTGATTGCAGACAAGAGAGATGCTCAGAACATACTTTTTTCCCCTTTGTCTGAAACAAGAAGGAAGAATAGCTTTCTGCTAAATGTAAGGCATTTTTCTGGGTACATGGAATTCTTCTAATACAGTCACATGAATGTAGAAAGCAGCAGCAAAAAGAATTCCTAGTGCTAGTAACTCAGTGCTGCTCTTTCAGGAGTACTCTGGACTGTTGTCTCCAGATTCACTGTGGCTGAATTGCAGATGCTTATAGATAAGTCTATAACCTTCACACCTTGGAATAAGTTTAAAATGTTGTTAGTAATTTAGATAATTTTCAATAAGGTTTTAGTAGTACTAAACCAACTAAAACATACTCTAATGCAATATCAGTAAACAAATGAAATCTACAATCAATGCGGAACATACTCTGTTAAGCAAATGAATACTATAATGTATAAAGTTAATTAGAACATATCTAATTATAATAGGTTATTTGTAGTACTTAAAATTACTTTTTACAGTGTAAAATAATGCAAATGTAACACTATCAAGAAAAATATACTATGCTTGCTGTTAAAATTGTATGTTTGGGTGGTTTTTTTAAAAAGCTTTTTGTTATTTCCCCAAGGAATTTCCACCAGTTTCAAAAACTTCATTGAATTAAATTTTTCTGTACTCAGTAAGTTCTAAATTGAAAATAAGATACAGTTGCTAAAAAGTTTATAATACTGCTCCTTTCTACTGCTTTTCTTTCAAGATTTGGAAAGAAGGTACCCGTTTCCTTCTTAGAAAATGATGTCTGTTTGTACTTACAGTGGGTTCTCGCAAACCTGTAAGAGGACTACCTAAAGAGAACACTCCCAGGGCTGATAACACACCGCTGGATTTCCAGGAGACTGTCTCTTTGAAAGAAAGAATGGCTATGTACAAGGCTGCTGTGTCCGAGAGAGACAGCAGCAACTCCTTTGCTCGTGTAAGATATCAATGGTTCCTTATCCTCTTAGCTCTGTGCTCTTATTTATTTATTTATTTACTTAAGCTGACTGATGGACCACTATGGGGATCAAAATCTGAAACCTAAATTACCAAATCAACTTAGCAAACATATTGATGCATCAGTCTCTGTCTCTACTGAGTGAGAATTTTAATGCTATATACCTTTGGTCATTTGGACAATTCCCTTTAATTGATTGGAAGGACTGTTCTTTTTATTCCACTGTTGCATGCACCGCATTTATTAGGACCACAGGCTTGAGACAGATTAGCAACACAGTTATTCTTTCAGCTCATAATGACAAAACCCAGCAGTTTCTGCATTACTAAAAATATTACCAAATAATAAAATCATATTCAAAAGCACATTAAGTTTAGACCTCTTGCTGTTCAAACTAAAGAATTTGAAATTGCTGCATTTTAAAAGAGCAGCTCTATGAGACAAGGTGTATGAAAAAGTATTGGTTTATAATGAAATTATTAAAAAATGGGCATTATATGAAAAAATATTCACAAAATATTTACTTACTCATGTCTCTACATGTCTATCAATAGGGATTAGGTATTTTACAGCAAAGTTTAATATTAATACCAAGTAGCGCATTTGGCTAACAGAATTTATCATCTATTAAAATAGAGCAAGACCACATCACCACACATTTAATTATCAGTCAGGAATACCTGAAAATCGGGTCTTCAGATCTCAGCCAGGAAAATCTGCCCCAGTTCTGCAGAAATACTAAGGAGTAAAAAGTGTATTTTTATCATATCTTCAAATCCTACCTAGAAGTTGTAATTCAACCCCCTTGTATCAGGAAATGGAGGCATTATGATGGCTTGCTACAATGTTAGAATGACAATGGTCTTTGTTTATGCTAAACTTTCAGCACATGAGAAGAACACCTTTTTCTTGCTGTAAACTAGGCCACAGTAATTTCTGTAAATCAGAGAGTGTATCTGGCAAAAGAAGGACTATAATTCAGCTCTCACCAACCAGCATCTTTGTCCGTATATGCAAGAAGAGCTGTAGGATTCCCAGTCTTAAGTGCACTTTGGTCTTGGGAGAAGTGATCTGCAGCAGCTGAAGGGACCTTCTAGGTGCTTGGATAGCCCAGAACCCACGTAGTGAAAACAGCCACCAGCCATACTCACCAGAGTCCAGGTGTTTTCCAGCCACCAAATTCCTGCCTGCTGACTTCCTTATTTCCTAATTGCCTGTGTGTATTTGGAGCAGATTCCCGCAGTTCACTCGGCTGAGAAGGTTCCAATTCCCTACTCCTGCAATTGGAAACTTTGCTGAAGTTATTGCTCTGCCTCATAAAGAACTGCGTGAAGCCTAACCCAACCTAATTGTGTTGAGTACTTCATTTACACTTTGGAACTCCTCACAATTTCTTGCTGAAATGGATGGTTGCCTGAAAAAGGAATTGTATATCCATTTCCTTTAAAAAGAATTAATACGTTTCCTTAAAGGACCCATAACAGCATCTACCCCCTCTAAATATCTCCAAATGGCTGGCACGGCGTGCCTGAAATGTTCATACACTAAAATGATTACTTTTCACATTCACACATCCATGTACATATAGAATCGTGACACCTTCATCACAGGGATAAAAAAAAAAAAAAATCTGTTTTTTATGATCTGCTTGCTTACTCATCAGGTGTAAGCACTAAATGTAAGTTTACCTAGTAACTTTCATTACAAGGCTATTTCTAATTATTAGGTGGTTTATTTTGTGCATACTGATTAAACAGCTCAATTGCTGAAAGCTTTGCTCTAGTACCATCTAAGAGGTAACACATAAGGAACAGAACTAGAACAGGGAGCCTGAAGGTGTAAGGGCACTCTTGTGACCTTTGGCACTGTTGTTAGTGAAGAAAGATCATCTCACAAAGGACTGCTTGAAGCTCTCTGTATGTTTTTTAACAATACCTATTGAAAAAATACAGAGAGGACCAGGTGGCAACTCTGAATGCAACAAAACTCAGACAAGTAGAAGAGGAAGAGCAGAGAAGGATTGTTCTGGAAGGCAATTGCTACTGACAATCAAGTAGATGGGACCTACTCCTTTTGGTGCTAAAGATTCAGGCCAAACATGCACATTTTTCAAATACACATTGGCCTTTAGGTCTCCAAATCACAATGTATGGCTCCTGTGCAGTGGTCCATGAACTTGCCAGAAACAGTATTTATAATTGTCCGAGTCATTCCTGCAAAGACAGAGTATTACGTGGCTGAAAATACATGGCTGATCCCTGAAACTACAGAGGAAACTACTGAGCCCTCAGACACTAGTTAAGGCAGAGATGAATATGCAGCTACACCAGCAGGATCTATTTCACAAAGGAGCATTTAGCAGCTAGTGTTAAATAAATTCTAGACTGCAAAATTCCCAAAGAACTTCATAATTTGCAGGTCCTAATTTTTGGTTGACAAGCAAAAGTCCTAAAATGGGCCAATGAGATTAAACAGTTAATTTTAACAGTATGTATATGTTTTGTATTTTGGTGACAACACCTGAAAAATAACTGTCTTATTACTGTATCTATTCTGTACACTAATATTAATTCATGTGTACTGTCAAAATAAGTAGGATTTACAGATGATGTCAGTGGAAGTTGCCTATAAGAGGCTACAGACATAACCAAGTGTTTCCAGATTTTCCATTTGAAATTTATAACCATTATAGCATACTGTTATTAACTACTTTTAAAAAAATCAACTTGTGGGAGTACGTTCTTAGTGCAAATGGAAAACAACTGGCCTTATTTTATCACTCTAGACTTCAGAGAAAACCAAGTTCTGTACTGTGCCTGGTGGCCTGGCAGCAGTGAGGAAACAATTTGAGAAAGTGCGGATGACCTCTTCACAAAAGACCTTTGCTCAGTACCAGCACAAATCTATACAGGTAACTAACATTTTTAATACTAACAAATGAGGTATGCCCCACTAGATAGCTTGAGGAAAAAATATGACTGTTTGCTGTACTGAAGACTTTTCATTATGACTAAGACAACATTTCCCTCATGTTCATACTTCTAGAATTTTGAGATATAATACAGGAATCATATACCTTTTTATGCAGATGAACACTCAATATAGGCAATAGTAGACTTATAGCAAATAGGTGAGTAAAGCAGATTACTACTACAGATTACTAGCAGTATTTTATACAGAACCTTGTCTACAAGACTGTAATTCATTATCAGGTATCATGGTGATATTTTGCATTTATTGCACTTGACATGATGTTAAGCCGTTCTCTTTCAAAAGTAGTTTCCTGCTTCCATTGAATTAAATCTAATAAACTCCCCTAAACAGATCAAAAATTGCACAGAAGAACCCAGATGCTACATAAAAGTAGAACAAAGCAGAAGCTAAGTGTTATTTTAGATAAAAGGTCTTTACATTTTATTACTTCATTAGCATATACCATGAAAAATTGTTGTAGGAGATAATGATTTTGGACTATGCGAAATCCTCTATAATAAAACACATTGCACAATCTGTCCTGTGCACTCTGAAAACCAGTAATGGCACAGTAAATTGCTTTACCATCCTGCACTTCTTGGAGAGATTTTTAAGCAATATTGCTCTCCAACTTTGTAGAACAGGACACATCAACATTCTGCCATAGGTTCATTTTCATGTTCATTTTCATGTTAAATAAGTGTCATCATATCTACCAGTCATCTCTCATTTCTTACACATCAATACCAATATCAACAATTTGCACAGACAACAAGCAAAACTCCAGTTTGTAGGGGAGAAGACACAGTTTGCTGCAGATGTATTTAAGCATTTCTAACTAAGCAGAAAAATCCCAGAGTTGGACGTAATCATAGCGGAGCATAATCCTTGGTAATAGGAAGTGTTATGCACGTACTTTTCTGATGATGTGGTCCAACTTAGCTGCCATTTATCTGGATGAAGAAATGCAGAACTGTGTACAGAAATTATGTGACTTTCTCTTACTCAGAACCAAATAATTTTATTTCTGTGATGTGAAGATGCATTTTCCCTGTCCTAACAGTGATGTCTGGTTCTCCACAAAGCCACCATGATGGTTCCATTTCTTCAACAAAGATGCGACCTCTAAGCATACTTGTCCATGTGTTTCCCCTCTGTGGCTAGTTGAGGAGGCTCTCTCAAATCATCAGCAGAAATAAGTCACGTTCACAAGAAATAGAATCACTCAGACTATATGGAACAATCTTTAAATTTAGGTTAAATAACTTACTGCAAGACCATAAAATCCCATTTCTATCTAACATAACTGCACTCTCATGGAAAATGGGATTATACGCTTAGGTAGTTGAAATATTATTCAAGGTCACTGAATCAATCCTGGGGCAAACCAGAGAAATCATGTAGTTTGAAGACAGATATCCAGATCTGGATAAATGCAAACTATTAATCCAAGCTAAAATAAAGAAGCAATTTGGTTTTTAAACAGTAATCTAAATAGCTGAACACTTTACTACATATTCAATTTTTGCATAAGGAGTGCATGGCTTTTCATTCAAAATACTGACATCAAATATGCAAATAATAACTATTTATCTTTCTGTTTTTCTCAGGCAGCAGCCATCACTCATAGCTTTCTTCATAGTAAGGGAGAGTGGTTCCTTGTGAAAGGTGCCATATTACCCATAGGGTGCACTAAACTCTTGTCCAGAATGGTGAGCAGCAATGAAAACTGATCACAGAATTGCCACGTGCTCACAAACTCAAACAGAGTTTGTTTAGAGACCTGGTCTTTAATTTGACCACTGGCATCATGAGCACCTTCTATCGTCAGCCACCAAACTGAGAAGAGGTCATGAGCTTCGGTGTTATCATTCTGCAAATGCCGGCCTGGAGTGGTTTGCTACACCAGCTCAGCTAGCTAGCTGCTCAGACAAAGTCTCACTACCCAGTGTCAGAAACAAGCCATTTCTGGCGAGTGAGCTGAACCTCCTGCATAGGAAGGATGAGTGGAATATAGTGAAAGTATCCGATATTCACTCAACCATATAGTATTGTGTGTCAGGAATCACACAGGTATAGCTCCACCTCCTTCATTGAGGGTCATTCCAGACAAATTTTCTATGATTGCTAGTGTCGCAATTACCAATTTTCTAGCGATCACAGAGAATAAGATTGAATAATGGGACAATGTTAGTGAATGATGAAAAACTTATCTTTTTATGAAAACCTTCCATATACTGCCCAAAACACCCTAAGTATATACATACAACTAAGCAAGGCTGACAAATAATAGAGATGAAGTGCAGATAAGTGAAGTTCTTAGAAGAAATTTCTGGAAGACTCTCACAGTGCTGATGCACAGATGATACCATGATAAGAACATAAATAGGTAAAAAAGCATAGCTTGGAAGAAGAAATTAAGATCCACACCAAGTACATCATCAGTCATTCTATTGTTACTAATTTCGTAACTGAAACTTCAGGTTCACAATCTACTTCCACTGCTGCCTAGAGGGAACTGCAATTTTCTACGTACTGATCATTTAGAACAGTAAGTTCTAAACCTGCCAATACATAATGATATTATATTAGCCAACTTCCTGCAGAGCTTATATGATGACCATAATGTACCATTCAACTAAAAGCAATATTCTTCAAGTGTGAGCGAGTAAAAGGTTTTCTTGTGCTTGGACAAGCTTTTGGCCCATTTGATCCCCTTGAACAATATATACATATATAGAATGGTATACATAATGTACGTATGCATATAACATAGCATATATATTCTGAGCCTCAAAGCAATTTTATTTTTGAAAGGGAAAGTATGTTTTGTCTGTTGTCAGAACAGAAGGAAACTGCAAAAATGTCAACACAAAAAAGCAAAACTTGGTCTAAAATACACAGAACCAGTTACTGAAAATTCAAATCTTGGCACATTTTGCAACAAGAATTTTATCTAAATTATTGCAGCGCAGAGGCACTAAAATTGATGTATGGGCCACTAACATATAAAATGCATGTAGCAATTACAGTTCTTCAGTAACAGAATCTGAATACCTACATAAAAATGCACTCCTCTAACAAAACATATACAGACTTACTCTCAGATCTACATCTTTATTTTTTAAATAGTATTGTTTTAGATTAAAATGACTTATTATCCAGAGACACAACAGGACACTATACCCTCTGTATTAACTACCATACAGATATGCATGGGAAGGCCAGCAGACTCCATAAAGGGTGACTTGAAACAAATGGAAGAGAATGGAAGGTGATGAAAATCTGAAATAAAATGACAGTAAGAAACCGTTTGTGAGATAGCAGCATGCCAACAATCATCCAGCTGACAGTGTTTTCTGAAGTTCACTCATGATAGAATAGAATAGAATAGAATAGAATAGAATAAACAAAAAGTAATTGAAGGGTGATTCTTGGGCCATGGGAAAAGCAACCATAATAGTTGTCTTTGCACTCCTGCCGCCAAAAATGACTTTGAGTTCTCTGTCTGTCCTCCTGCCCTGCACAGCTGGAGGGGAGCTGTTTCTTCCTGACACCACAATGTGGGAACTGGTTGATCAAATAACCTTGCTTGATTTAATAACGTACAGTACGGCAGGAATTGTGTATTCCACAGAAACAAATAAAGGCATCAAGTTCCCACAAGTATAACTCTTCACTAGTAGTAAATCTAGATCATGATCTTCAGCTGCAGTCCCGCATTAGAGGCATGACTTACCTTGCTTAATAAGATAAGAGCAACTTTATCCCATGCAGACCATCAAATAATTCTGCAGAATATTCTCCAAAACCTATCGGGTCTACAAAACATGCCACAAACTCTAATGGGGTAGACTAAATTAAACCTACCTACAGGATATCCTATTCTATATGCAACAGTTGGTTATTACAGAGTTATTACAGAAACCACAGGTCTTCCTGCTGTCCATTTGTTTGGAATAATAAACAAGCATCATTTTACCCTCTGTCACTGGAATTTCCATTAGGCATCTTGACAGACACACAAAATAATGAGAACCTCCAAGTCTCTCTTCCTCCCTGCACGCCCAGAGCAAGGCCATGTAATTATATTGTCAAAATCTGGCCCATAACATTTAAGCTGCATTTTAGACAGCCATAGCTGTCGCATTAAACAATTATAATCTTTTGCAATATGGCAACTACTTCATAAGCAGTACCAAAGTTACAGCAATAAAGCAGTAGTGACATTCAGATTAGATTTGCTTCATGACTACATTAAGCCTAATTATATTCCTTTTTAATGCCCCACACCATTCAAAGGACACATAATGACTATCATGAACATATTTTGTGTCTCATGAATGAGCTTTTCCAGTAATGAGAGCTTGACTTACATATCTAAAACATGCACATTAGAACAGAAAAGCATATCTTAAATGAAAAAAGCATATATATGCATAAATATATTGAAAAGCATATCCTTATAAAATGAAAAGGCATATTATACATATACCTACACAGTCATTAAACAGAGAATAGATGGAAAAAATTTGCACTTCATTTTGTTTGAACTGCCTCTTTTCAACTTGGTATGGGGTTAGCTCTACGTCACCTCATGTCCGGCTCCCTCACAGCTGTTACATGTACAGAACGTGCAACAGTAAACCATGCTCTGACTTGCTCTCCTCAAGCCTCACCTCACTTTGACAGTTCAAACTTTGCAGTAGATAGGATTAATTTTGATACTGGCAACACACTAAATTGTTACTGGGCCAGTAACCAGAAAATTTATTCTACCTTTTGTTCTTACGATTTTAATTCATCTTATAGTTGAAACAGATGATATGGCAGCACAGAGGTGGAAGAGAATTCCTAAAGCCCACCAAGGGGATGCTTATTGTTTCTCTGCCATAGAACCTGAGCCCTTGCTGCCTGCTATATGGTAGAAATTATGGGCCAGGCAGTCGATGCTCCCCATTCAGCAGAAATGTTAGTGGAGATGCAAGCAATGTACGCATCCTTAGTTTGAAGGTGGAATAAATCCCATAAATATATGCTTTGTCATGGGATGACTAAGGGAGAGAGCTAATTTCTTGCCCCATAACTAGCTGGATTTCAAGGAGGTGCCAGGATTTGAGATGCAGGAAGCTTACAGCTCTCTGTTGCACTATATGTATAGTAGCAATCTCAGAAACACAGTGCTGCCTCCATTTACATTACATTGAACACTTGGGAAGCTCTTGCTGGAGGGACCAGAAGATCCTTCCATTTTAAAGCTTATTATCAGTAGAAACTAATAGGCAAGCTTCCTTCTCACAAAGGAAGACGAAAATTTAATTTGACATGAGTGAAATTATTTGTTAGATGTCTCTGTGAGCATACTAGTGTGCAAGACAGAGGAAGCACAGTACTTCTATCATAATAATATCAAACCTTAGGATTTATTTCTTCTAATCACTAAATCTCAAAGTACTCCATGGACAGAGGTAATGTGAGGTAACATGGGTTCTGTGACAGGCTTTAAATAAGAGAACAAATCACCACCAGAATCTGGAGTCAAACTAAACATAGATAACCTCAGAAATTAGTTTACACAAGTATCTTGTACAGTGCTTTAAACTCTCAACAACGTGCTCTGTTTATTACACTGCAGTTGTCAGACTTGGAGACACAATGCTAGCCTGTATATTTTATAGGATCTTCTGATTAGCCCATAGGTCATATTTTTCACAACTGCAATTCAGCATGATTTTTGCATTGGAAAAGCTGTATAAAGCATATGCAGGAAGTCAGCATCTCTTATGTAGACATATTATTATACTTCCTTTCACAAAGTTGCATTAGCCTCATGCCCACTGATAGGTAACAAGTTGATGGCATAGCACGTAAAGCCAGAACCAGTCTTCCTAGTCACCTTCGTCCCCTTCCAGTCTAATTATACATTGTACCTATTCATGCAGCTTTCCATATCTGCTGGTCAAAGTCTGGCTGCAGTAACAGAAATGACTTGACATCTTCTGTGTTATAAAAAACCCTGTTCCAATTTTTATGGCAACAAATATCAATCATAATAATAACAGTACTCTGCTGTAAAATGACTGTTCTAGTTACACCACTTACATTAGAATTTATTTGTGAAAGCCCTTCAGAGGGAAAAAAAAAAAAGAAAAATCCAATTTACTATTAGCTGTCAATGTGCAATTATTTTTATTTGCCTTTAGGAAACATCAAGTGGCAGTCAGCACGCGGTATCAAGCAGCATCAGGGAAGCTGAGTGCAATAAAATGACCTCCAAAGAAAGTCAGACAGAAACCTCTCAAACACAAGAGGTAACTGTATCAACTAATAATCATGTCATTGGACAATTATACTGATGCTGATACATATCTATCTGCTTTGCTTCTTCCTCCTTTACCACTTGGTACACCAAGATTTGGATGTTCTGCTGATAGCCTCCCTCATTAGGCAGTGCATAACAATTTTTTTAAAGGTGTTTTATTAAATGTTTTTAATTTATTATTGTTTTAACATGGTAATTAAGTTTCCATTCATATTTTTCTTTGATGTAACATTTTAAATACACTTGCAGAAGTATGGGAAATTCTTAACATATTGCACTAAATCCTGTAGTAAAGTGAAGGTTTTGTGCACAGGTTTCTCATCACGAGCAAGTTACTCATGAGATAAAAATGCCTTCTACGTTCACTCAGCACACTGATGAAACAGGTAAGAAGTAGCATGAGAATAAAGGCTCACAAAGGAGCAATGGCAGATGTCTTTACTCGCACAAATGTACCACTCTTAGCATATGAACATGAAAATGCACATCACTCCGAATTCTCAGCAAAGCACGTTCATTGAATTCAATGGGACTTAAAAAACAAGTTTAGAATTCAGTATGGAGAGATGGCTTTTGCAAAAGGAGGTGGTTTAAAATATGCACTCAGTTGCTTGAAAGAACTGGGGACCTGAAGAATTGTCTGAAAACATAGGCAAACACTAGCCCATCTATATACAAAATTGTAGATGAGAAAGGTTTAATTTATAGCTGAACTGAATAGCCTTGCAGAATATGACCACAGTGCTAAAACACTGATGCTGCTGCAGTTTAGTACTGGTAGTAGAATTCACGCATTATATTCTCCCACAGACCCCAGTCAACCTTTAGCCCTGCCACACCACTCAGGTACGGCAAAACAGTAGGTGATAATGTGTCCCTCAACAACTATTCTGTCATTCTCTCCATGGATTTCTGTTCACGATCAAGTGAGTCTCTAAACTTCTGCAAGGCTAACTACAATTTTTCTAATGTAATAATATTTTATAATTCACTGATAAAGCAAATTTCATAAAATGCTGGGTGGAAGAAAAATTATCTTTGTTATTCTTCTTCCCATTGCAGTAATCAATGCAGCTCAGAACGAAGAGCTCCCAAAGACTGTAACACAGATTTTAAAACAGCAGATTGAAAGGACAGCTCAGGAAAAGGCTGTTCACACTGACAGAGAGACTGCAATACCTGCAAAAGAAGTAAAGGTCTGTGTTTTTAATATGAAGGATCTTTCTTTATGCAAATTAGAAGTGATGAAGTTAAGACATTGGTCCATTATGCAGTCTGAATTTCTATTTTGACTAACTGTGATTAAAAATGTAACCTACGAAAGTGGTGGGAATATATGGACTTTAGGAATTAAGTGCACATAACATAATATGAAGTACGTTAGAAGGCTCAACAAGTACTTACAGTAAGTGACAAACACAATTAAAAGTAGACCTTTATAAAAATTTTTGCAGACCTGTCCTCTTCTGCTGAATAGTCTCCTTTTTCCGTTTTGAATCTGTAAATATGTATAATTTCTGTCACCACAGATTCTCAGAAGCATAGAAAATGTCACTTTCAGAAGAAATGAAAATGAGCATAAGCTACTGCATAACTTCACATTATGCTTATAATGCAAAGTCTGCATTTGTTGCAGCAAAACCTCCAAGACTGCTCAATCATCATTTTGCATTTTGTATGAATTCTGCATTTCTTTTCACATATATTCTATGGTGCAAATAGCACAGCTCTTAGTTCAAAAGATTGGTTTTATGCCTTTTGAGCAATAGCTGATGGATTGTGTCTTTCCAGATCTTATTATAATCCTATTGCTTGGATCCTTGCAGAAATAGCTTTTGTGAAGAATAGAAAAATTGTTTTATGTTACCCTACTTTAAAAAAAGACAAAACAAACCCTTTTTTTCCCTGAAGATGGAAAATACATACCAGGAAATTACATTGCCTTCAACAGTTAGTTCATCTTCTACTGCTACTACTTCAGAAAGCAGACTACAGGAAACTTCTACACCAAGGGAAAAACAGGAAGGAACTGCTACATCTGCAATGATTTGCTCCAGATCCCATGAATATGGAAGCACAGAAAAGTTTTCCTTGACAGCAACTTCCCAGTCCACTGAATTGTCCAGCTCTCCAACACAGCCCACTGTCTCCCCAGATCTGTACTCAAAGCAAAGCAATTTATGTGAACCAAGATGTTTATGCACACGTTTCCACTCACAATTAAGAAAATGCTTAGAGAAACATTATCTGAATGAAACTTCTAATATTTTATCTGGTGAATCTGAAACATGGAGCATGATGTCAGATGTGCAGCAGGCTAGATATGGCTTTGCCTTCATTATTCAGATGCTCACAAGACCAGAAAAACAATGCTTAGAGTGGCATGAAATCTGGAGAGGAGAGGTCCTCTCTACAAGATGGGTCTTTGAGAACCAGCCTTTCATTCCAATTAAAGATGACCCTCCAGACCCAGACAAAGCTAGAAGCATTGCAGACCAGGAAACCACTGCAGCTGGAAATGTTAAATACATAGCCTGGATGTTTCAGACCCAGCCTCTTGATGCACTGCGTGCACGTGCTCCGATCTCCGCAGGAACTATGGACAAGGCTCTTGCATTAGTTAGAGGAGCTATTTGTGCAGTCACGTGGATGTTTGACATGCAGCCACTAGACTCTATGAATAAAAATTATCACAATGAGGAACAAATATCAGATGAAACTCACATCCGAGAAGGTTCTAGTGGTGCTGTAAAGACTCTGAGGCACATGCTGGAAGCACAGAACCTGGATAAACTTGGGCAGCTCAACTCAGTGGATGTCCTTAACTTGTTGCAGCTGAGGTCTGAGCTGAAAGAGCTTAAAGGAAGCGTGAAGAGAAGCATAAATTTTGAACCTCAGCCATTGTCTCTTACCAGAGACAACTTTGGTCAAAGACTGGAGAATGAAGCTGTCCATAGAGAACATGCTGAAAAGAGGCATGGCAGAATAGCAGCTGCATTTGAAACCTGTGACCAGCAACGACCTGGTGGAAATTAAAGTGGTACATGGAATCTCAATGGAGGAAAACACAAGCAGTGCTGTGCACAAGGCAAAACAGTTGAAACACAGCCTTGGCACACAGAAGAGTCAGGGGAACTAAGTCCAGCTGAAACATCGTCACAAAACTCAAACCAGCAAGATCAAGGTCCTGCACAAGATGCAGCAGCCCCTGTAACACCACAGCAAAGCACACTTTCCGATTCCAAATTTGATGGCAATGATACGCAAGTAGTACAAAAATACTACGTAGCAATTTAAATAGATGTCCATGAAGACCAGAAGGCCGAGAAGCTGAAGACACAGGAACAGTTGTGAAAGCCTCTAGCTACTATCTCTTCCACCATTATGAGCATTAACGCTACAAGAGCTATCCTGAAGAATTATATAGAGCAAAATAAAAAGATACTAAAAATAGATATTAAAATTAAAATAGCATTACTGCTGTATTTGAGAAATATTAACATGCTAGAAAATGTGCACAGAATACACCTGACTTCTCATGCTTAAAATGAATGCAACATCCTCTTAACTGAGGTAAAATGTTGCCTGTATAAAATAGCTCTAGAGATAAGATAATGGTCATGTTTTGTGCTCATCTGTTTTTAGTTTATTAAAGCACAAGATGTGACTTAAGACAAAGTGAACTACATTTTGAAGGGTTTCCTGTTTGAGTAAAATTACTAAGACAGTTTACAAATTAACATGCAATTTTAAATTTTTTTCTGCTATTTCCTGCTGGGTGATTTTAACAGTTGATACAGCCCTAGTCTGAATTAAGGCAGCAAACCCATTTACCTGATGTCAGCGTCCAGGTTTCACATCACTAAGGAGTAGAGCCACTCAGTGTCCCTCAAAAAGCTAAGCCTGTTATTTGTTTCATATTGAAGTAAACTTTTTAAATATATGAAGTATGTGAATATATATGAATATTTATATATGAATATGAAGTAAACATTGAAAATAAAACATGCCTTCTTTCTCATGGTGTATGTGTTACTTAAAAAAATATATTAAATTAGTATTTAGATTGCAAAGTTATGCATTTGAAACTTAGAAAATATTACATATGCTATTGCATGATGGACATCAATGTTCTCCTTTTGTGCATCTATTTTGGGCACTGAATATGGATGGGATCCTGTAGGAAAACCAGATGTTACCATAGCTTTAGCCATTTGAAATACGTGAACAGAATGCTGATGCTTGAATGGCAATGAAAATGGCAGAACAAAGCTGAACGCTCCTGTACCTGCATAACTCCTAAACAGAAAGCTCTGCTTTTGGTTTCCCAACTCTGTGCACTGAGAAGGGTGCTACCTCTGTTCATGCTAGAAGCAAAATTAAACATGAGTGTCTTGTGAGCCTGTAAAATGAGGCACAGTCTGGTGGTAGTCCAACAAAATACTTAATGTGGTGGGTTGGCTGCCATCTAAGTCCACACCCAGTCGCTCGCTTGCTCACTCACTCCCCCACAGTGGGATGGGAGGAAGAATCAGAAGAGCAAAAAGCAAGAAAACCTGTGGGCGGAGGTAGAGACAGTTTAACAGGTGAAGCAAAGCTGGGGCACAAGCAAAGCAAAGTAAAGAATTGATTCACTACTGCCCATCAGCAGGCAGATGTTTAACCACTCCCTGGAAAGCAAGGCCTCAACATGCACAACTGTTACTTAGGAAGACAGATGCCATAGCTCTGAACGTCCCCTCTTCCTCCTCCTTTCCCTCAGCTTTTACTGATGAGTGTGATGTCACATGGTATGTAATATCCCTCTGGTCAGCTGGGATCAGCTGTCTTGGTTGTGTCCTCTCTCGACTTCTTGCACATCCCCAGCCTACTCGCTTGGGGCGGGATGCGGGGTCACAGTGGGAGGGAGAAAAGGCCTTGACACTGTGCTGCTCAGCAATAGCTAAAACATTGGTGTGTTATCAACACTTTAGCCACAAATCCAAAACGTAGCACCATATGAGCTGCTGTGAAGAAAAAACATCCTAGACGGTCTTGGTATACGTAAGCATGTTACCAGTACCAGTAGAATACTGAATTCTCTATATGGTCAAGCCTCTGGATTTCATTTTGGATCTCTTCTGTCTGGTAAATATTTATGATTTCAAACAGTAAGCCAGTCTTTCCCTCACTGATTTTGTAGGACCGTTCATGTGTGGTGGGTTGACCTGCCAGACCCCCAACCAGCCACTCTCTCATTCGCCCTCCTCAACAAGGCAGGGAGAGAAAATAGGACGAAAAAGCTCGTGGGACAAAATAAAGACAGGGAGATCACTTACCAATTACCTTCACAGGCAAAATAGACTTGACTTGGGTAAAATTAATTTAATTTATTAGCAATTAAAATAAATTTAGATGGCGAGAAACAAACACTAAAACACCTCCCCTCCTGCCCCCTTTTTCCCAGGCTCAACTTTACCCCTTCACTCCTGATTCTTCTACCTCCTCCCCCTGCCCCCAGCAGCACAGAGGGGATGGGGAATGGTAAACGGGGGGGCTGGGGTCAGTCCATACCAGTTCCTCTCTGCTGCTCCTTCCTCCTCGCACTTTTCCCCTGCTCCAGCGTGGGCCCTCCACAGGCTGTAGTTCCTTCTGGGAATACCCACCTGCTCCAGTGTGGTGTCCTCCACGGGCTGCAGTGTGGATATCTGCTCCAGCGTGGTCTTCTCCACAGGCTGCAGGGAAATACCTGCTCTGCTCATCTCCTCAACAGGCTGCAGGGGAATCTTTGCTGTGGTGCCTCCTCCCCTCCATCTTCTCTGACCTTGGTGTTCACGGGGTTGTTCTCACACTCTTTCCCCTCAGTCCTCACTGCACATGCACCATTTTGCCCCTTCCTGAACACCTTTTCCCGGAGGCACCACCAGCATGGCTGAGGGGCTCAGCTGTGCCCTGCGTGGGTCCGCTGGAGCCAGCTGGAACCGGCTGCGTCCAGCACAGGGCAGCCCCGGCCTCTCCTCACAGAGGCTGCCTCTGCAGCCCCCCAGCTGCCAGAACTTTGCCACTGACACCCAATACATCATTAATTTTCATGAAGATGAATACTGGCTCCACTATTCAGTCCTGGAAGTTACTTCGGGATAACTTCCCTTAAATTCCCTCTTTCTCTTTGTTTTTCTCCTCTCTTGACTGTTGCCTTCTGAGGCACACTATTGACTACCCCACTAAATGAAGTATAAGCATCCAGCGAGACAGTTTTCCAGGAGACGTCACCTTTTTTTCCCCTCCCAATTACCTTATCCCTTTCTGTATCACAAAGCTCATGCCTTTCCTCTCCTCCCTCTTTGCATTCAGAATACTTGCGTACCTAAGAATATTACGCTGATTCCTTATGTTTGGCTCACACCGCCAACCACAAGCAGTCCGTGCCTAGCGAGGCGGGAGGCATGGCCGCAACACTGCACTCCACACCTGCCCAGCCCCTCTCTTTGTCCGCCTGTCTGGGGACTAAGCTGAGGCTACATCTGATGCTTCCTATTCATGACCAACAATTCTTCGGGGGATTTTTTTGCTTGTTTGTTTTTACTGGTAGTTTATTCTTTGTGCAAGTTCTACATTATTTTGAAGATATTTAATTTTCAGCATTCTTCACAGCTGTCATTATGGGCACTAGAGATATGTGGCAACTAAAGCTGTAGTTATAAAATCTACATCACCTTCTGTCTTGATTTGTGAATTGCTATAAAGTCAATACCAGCAGGCAAATCAGAAACAGACAGAATGCTGAAAGGGGCCAAATTTTCGGCTGATGTCAAGGGGCATTCCTATTGTCAAAGGAGATATTATACAAGCAATTATTTGGTGCACCCTATTTGTCTTTGTCTGCTGGTACGGTTTTCATAGCAACTCAGAAATCAAGACAGAAGAGCAGCATGCATTTTTCCAAGCCCAACAGATTGTCCATTATTTCCTTCTGCCCCTTACTGGTACGAAATAAACCTTCTATCCATGCTTTGTACTTTGCAGGGAACTAGTTTACTTTATAATTAATTATACTTCATAAAAGAAAGGATTTGATATAGTTCACTAATATAATTGTAGCTAACTCAGTCTTAAAAATTAACTGAAGAAAGTATCAGGTCTGAAAATGAAAATTGTAAAAATCACAAATAATTACGTCCATAGCATATCTGGACCATATGAGTGTACAGTCTGCAGGTTACCACAAAAGTGGAACTCCCTGATGTGCTTCTGGCATGATTAAGCAAAACTTCCTCATCAGAATTTCAAACATCTGCCCTTGTTTACTGATCTCTAAATCACATCGTAGACTCAAAGATTATACATACATTATACTCAATTCCACTTATACCAGTAAACCTTTTACTATCCTATCTCATTTCACAAAATAAATAGTTATTACAAATAAATGGGAAATATTGTACCTGGTGCAGTGAAGTGAGTAGTCCTTTCAAATATATGGATTTCTGAAAAGGGAAAGGTGAGTAGTTTTTCACTTTCAAAGCATTACTGTTAGTTGAACAAAAATGAAGCCCTAAAATTGACAGCTGAGATACCAGTTAATGAATAAAGAAAATTACAGTTTTAACAAAACATATGGACTGTTAAAAATAAATCATAATATGTGGCTTAAACTAACTTGTAACTTTTTAATATGTGGTTCTAGAAACTGCAGATTCAGGAAAATGAAACGTGCAGACTCTGTCAACAGAGGGTTTACCCAATGGAATGCCTGGTTGCCGACCAGCAGAATTTTCATAAATCGTGTTTCCGATGTCACCACTGCGGCAGTCAATTAAGGTAAGAAGTAACTGCATGTTCACTCATAGAACTCTGCAACTGAATATAAATACAGCTGGTGAAATTATTTTCAACTGGGCTATTCAGCCTGTAGGATGTTTGGTTGACAGGGAGGTAACCTGGCTCTCCCATTTCTTCTCCGCTACTGACATCTCTACCATGACATGGAACAAGTCCTTTAAATTCTCTAAAGAACTGCTTCATCACACTACCTTCCAAATTCTCCTGCATATTACTTCCTACTCACTGTTCCAGACCTTCAGTAGAGCTCATGAACCACAAGCAGTAGATACAGAAACTTTGGTGGAATTTAAGACATCTGAATGCAGATCAAATTTTCTCTCACTTTTCCTCATCCATAAAATGAATGATGATGGTTCTCTGCATTAGCAAACTACTCTTGCAACCTTTATATGAAATGAAGTATTTATTGCTCTATCAGACTGCAAAGGCTAACAGTTCTGATTTTAACACCTTTGAGGTTAGTTACACACATCTCCTTTACTTCATTTAGGAGCAGAATCCAAATATAAATGCAAATTTCTATAATTCGCAAAAAGGCCAAAGAAAACTGGCACTGTATTTTCTCCACCTATTTTGTAGAAAAACAGAGGATTGGGTCTTTACTATGATGAAGAAAAAGGTCCCAACAAGCCTGAAGTGCTGTAGAACATTCCTGTCTGAAGCCTATGCTGTCCAACAACTGAATAAGTTTATGTTCTTTCTTAAATTGCAAAGCATGACTCTTCTCCTTCATTTTTACTTTGAAATTGTATGGGAATTTGCAATTAAAGGTTTTAGATACTTTGGGGGGGGGAGGGGGTCAGAATTGGCCAATACATTGAATTTGCTCTCTTTTTGCTCTTCCTTTCTTTATATATACTGTCATGTAAGGGTACTTGACATATCAAGTCAAGTGTAAAATTCACAGTAGGTTTATGATATGTAAAAGTATAAAACAAATTTTCTTCCATTCGGCAGCTTGGGAAATTATGCATCTCTCCATGGAAAAATATATTGTAAACCCCATTTTAAACAACTTTTCAAATCAAAAGGAAATTATGATGAAGGTTTTGGACACAAGCAGCATAAAGAATTATGGAAATTGAAAGATCAATGTAGCTCAGTTGGTAATATTCATGCTGAAGAAACAAATCCCATTAATAGTTTACCTGTTGATCCTAAACCAATTACAGAAACTGATCAAGACTTGTACTCAGGTACTGAAGGTACTCATCCTGATATTTTGGATAATAATCTGAAAAAATCCACAGAAAGAGGTAAATTAAAGATGACATGGCCTCCTTCAACAGACAATACAACACCTAAGAAAACATTTTCTATTGAAGAAGTGGCTAAAGTAAATAAGCCAAAGTGGCCCCCAGAAGGTTTTGCTCAAGAAGGTTCTAGTTTACATACAAATAAATCTCTGGGCAATAAAAAGGATCCTCAGAAAAAAAATGCTGAGACAGAGCAAAATAAAAATAACACTGCAAATATACAACAAAATCAACACTCATCCTTTAGCTCTCTGTCTGAAAAAGAAGCTACAAATACCTGTAAAGCAAAGAAAAATGAAGAAGGAAATAAGGGAAAAGATGAGGAAGCTGGGAACGTGCAAGATAAGCTGAATAAAACAGGAGGATCACAGAAAAGGGAGGAAAGTGGAAAGGATACTAATGAAGGCGATAATGTAATTGCGCATAGTGCTGGGAAAGAGCAAGAGAAAAAAATTAATGAAACCGATGATTCAGAAGTTGTACAGGTTACTAACATTGATGATGTAACAGTACAAAAGAATCACAAAGAATTCTGCTTGAATAACAATAACAATAACAATAATGCCACTTTTTCACATCTAAACATTTGTAGGCAGGAAACAACTCTCTCAGCTACATCTAACCCAATGACAGCCTTAAGTCATGCAATTTGCACTGTATCGCAGCATGCCTTTGCAAAGCTGGAAAATCGGTCTGGAAATGAAGAAATATTTGAGATACAGTATCACTAGAATAGCTCTCATGATATTTGTGTAACTGTTTCACTGGATGAACAGAACTCAAAAGATGAAGATGCTGTTACCTCTAATAGTCTTGCTCAATTTAATAAAGATGCCACTTGTCAGAAGTCTTGTACTAATAGCACATTAGTTTTAAAGGAGTCAACTAATACAACGTTCCCTGTTGATACTGAGTTGGTATGCATTAGAGAAGAATCAAAATATGACAAAAAACTTAAATACTACTTTATCTGACACTCTGAAAACATCTTTGCTTAAAAAAAGACAACCTGGTTTTAAACTGTGGTCTAATAGACTCTGTAGATATAACTAAAAATTCCAGCAGCCCATATTCAAAAGAACATGGGAATTATGATACAGAACTGAATGGTATTAATGCCTGTCAAGGAAGTGAAATAATCAAAGTGTCAAAGAATGACATAAACACAAGCTTAGATTTAGTGAGCTCAAGATATAAAGCTGTTCCATCATTCCAAGGCAAGAAAGTCAAGTTCAAACAGCTCACTGTAGAAGAACAAATTAAAAGAAATAGATTCTATGATGAAAATGAATAAAACAGCTAAATGACCAGCTACATCTGTCACTCATTATAAAGTATGTCATAAATAGGTATTTCTTCAGTCCAGTTATTTTAGTCCTTCTTGAAGAATTTAATATCCAGAGATTAGATATGAAAATTTGTATTATATACTGTCATTTACTCAGACTTTATTTACTTAGTTTATATTTAAGGCAATGAAGATGCATGAAATAGAATTTTTTCAGTCTGTAATTAAAACAGCTTCTCTATGTTCCTGAACATTGCAAGAAATATTTTACTACATAACTGTCCTGCAGAAACATAATAATCTACTTTTACAGTTTAGCATTTGTAACAAATCCAGATGTGAAACACCTGGTGTACACAAAACAAGAAAAAATATTCCCATAGGTTTTTTCTTATGTATTATCATTATTATTATTATTATTATGGTAACTGAGCTGTTGCTCCATGACATATTATGTACATTTGTTGTGTGAGCTCATACTGGAAGATTTGGGTTTTGGTTGGGTTTTGGGGGAGTTGGGGTTTTTGGTTTTTTGGTTTTTGGGTTTTTTTGGGGGGGTGCAATATCATGCAATAGTTAGTCTGAAATTGACTCATTACTGAATAGTAACCACAACTGGTTGGTGAATAGTACTGTTTTGCTATATTCCTAGAGCTGCTACTATGGCATCATATTGTATGACAGAAAAAAAAAAAAAAAGTGTGTCAATTTTAACACAGGATAAAAACAAACATCCTAGGCAGAACGGGAACAAAGTTTGGGAACACTGGGCAATTAAGACTAGTGGTTGTTTCAGTAACTAATTCAAAGTTATTTTAACTGAAGCAGCTCTCCAGTTTCATATTTAAACCTGTACAAACTTATGCAGATTTAGCACTTTTTTTCTTAACATGTTTATGGATTAACATTTGCTCTCTTAACACTATACCAGTTTGCATGAAACAGCAACATACCGTTTAACTGTTGACAATGCATAATAAAAAAGCACTTTACAAAAAAGTATTTTGTGAAGTTTTTTTAATATGAATTTATACGTATGATTTTCCTTAAACAGTTTGTGAAATTCTTCATGCGATAATTACTTTAATCTAAAGTGTTTGTCAGAGTGAAAGGGAAGTATAATCGAAATACAGTTTTCAAAATAATTTCCGAAGTATCTGACAGAGACAGGTGTTTGGAGTAATTTACAGGAAAGACAGGTTGATGTTAAAACATTTCAGAAATTATCATGCATAGTCCTAGAACAAAATATCTGCTGCACTACAACTCATTGCCCAAAGCAATGGGATTGTGGGTAAGTGGGATATTCACATGTGACTCTTCTTCTACACCTACACAAAACCAACTATAAAGTATACACACATGAGAAAAGTTATACATAATATTTCTTCCACAAGAATACTTCAAGAGAGTGAAGCCTCCTCTTTATGCATCATGCTTCACTCCTCTGAAGTATTCTCATGAAATGCAGAAATATTGAAAAGACCCCTTAAAATGAATGTTCTTAGGAGAATAATTAGCCTTCACACAAGGCACTCAGATACCATTGTATTTGATAACTTTGTTAAAAAGCATTAGCCTATAGACAATTGTGAACATTTAAAAATTATTTTGACAAGATCTCTCTCTCTTATTCCTCCCCCTCTCCCCATTTGGCTGTAACTATGATAAATTATTTTTAAAGCCCCAAAAGATTAGTAAATAGATCTAAACGACTTTGCTCACTTGAGTAGATAACACAACTAAAAATAACATCAACAAAATTCCTGCTGAGACAACAAAAAAAAATCTCAGAAAATGCAAGCCTGAAGAAAATAAATGGAATTTGTCTAAAATATTTAGAGCTCTACACGGACTAAACTTTTAAATCTCCCCTATTCCCCAAAATTTCTTACTAGGTATAAGATCAGTTTTGACTGTATTAGCTAGGAAAGAGGAATGATCTTGAGGGTGAAATGGTAGGTGTTTGTTTATGTGCACATACATAGGTGTGATCATATGCAAGTTAATAATTCAAATGAAAAGCTAATATGGTTGCAACATTTGTACCCAAAGTACAGTCCTGTGCCAATTTTCATTCTCCTGCATATTCTGATGAATTTAAACATGTATCCTACAATTTAGAGGAGTGACAGATATCAGTTATGATAATAAAAACTCATTTACACCAAGAAATTAATGCCTCTGAAAATATCCTTACAAAATACAGACCTTTTTGCTTCCCCTAAACAAAATAAAAACACCACCAAAAATGAGTCACAGAAAAAGCGTGTTCCCTTTGGCCAGCTAGAGATGATGGAAATAAAGGCTTTGATGAAATAGTAGAAAAAAAGCAGGACTACAGGGAAATTTTTATTCCCAGAGGGAATAATATATAAAGACAACATACATAAATGACATACTGTATGGGGCAAATCTCCTTGGATATTCCATCTTCAGGATTCTGCTTAGCATGGGACAGACAGAATTGCAGAGCCTTCCTCTAGTGGATTCATTAGCTTTGCATTCTCTTCTGTCAGTGGGTGGCCTTTTTTCTTCCTCCAGTCATGAGGATGAATGTTAAGGAGAAATTAAACGATATTGCATAATTGTTTCTTTGAAACACAAGCCAGGTGTCCCATCATACGGTCTTGGAGTTCTTATACAAATTATAAGGATGACACCCTGTAAACCTGTTCTAGAAAGCTAATAGCCATGGGTAATAGAATGTAAATTTTCTGAAAAAAAAAATTTGAAGTAGAAGAGTTCTTCAGAACTTCAGCCAAAAGCTTAGAGCAGGAGTAATCAGAGACAAGATAAGGCTGGAACTCACCAAGATTGTGTGTTTGTCTTACTTCCTTTTCCATAGAAGGCAAAAGAGATGGGAGATGGTGTATGCCTGAGTCACCCTAATCTATACATACAACCACAGAAGTCACACTCTGGAGAGAATGCATATAGCAGCTGAAAGTGAGATTGGGATAAGAGCTGCAGCTAGAAAGTAGCAACCTTACAGATTTTCTTTAAATTAAATGCTAAATGAATAGTAACTCCTTAGCTGCCAAAAAGCCTCATACATTTTGGCAAAACCATATGGATTTACTGCAGCCAAGGAGCTGGTCTTTATGGTTTTAAAAGAACTAACATCCATTAGAGCTGTACTTTTGTGAGAGAACGCGGTTATTCTGAGTTTAAGTATCTTTAAGTTAACCTCTAGGCTTTCTAAGTTTTAGTACCCAAGTTTAAATAACTGGTCATCATTTTGTAAAAGTCCCATTCTGTGAGGAGAGGCTTGATGGCTTCTGAGAGGAATCATGGTATCGAAAGGCCCATTCTCTCAGCAGAACTTCCTCTGGCTACTCCTAGGTTTCACCCCTTAGCTCATGGACAGGATTTTTAGCGGTGCCTAGGATGGGATCTTACAGTCATGGAGGGCAGAGCTGATCCATTTCCAGCACAGCTGCAGCCAAGCACTGTTCAACGGCAAACTGCACTGACAAGTAGCAATGAAATGAAGTTTCTCTGCACCATTATTTAGTACAGGAGACTTGCAGCCTGAGAAGTCTATTTTCACTAGGTATTACTGGCTAGTGAAGATGTTCTACTGCTTTTAAAACACAGCAGGGTTCACGTATTCTTCTATACTCAAAAGCACCAATTAGAGAGATTAAAGAGCCTGATTTAATGTCTTGTTAAAGGAGCTTTTGAATTGCTGGGCCAGCACTGGACTTTAGAGGACTTCTAAATTTGCAGTCCCTTTGCAGCTTCATTAACATAATTGGCACAAAGTCTTACTTAGAGCTACTTAAATTGTTTTTATAGATGCAGCAGATCAACTGATCCCTTTGGAGTCTTTATAGAGTCATGGGCATCCTCAAAACTATAAAGGGACCTAAATAACACTTTTACTATACTGCTGAAGTGGACTCCTCCTAGGTGAAGGCTTGCTGAAAGCAAATGCTTGATTACTGCAAAAAGTATACTTATCTTGTCTGTCCTTTGTTAAGCATTTATCTCCTTCATACATGTTAATAGGCATACCTACACTAGTATGTTAAAAGACAGTGCCTAGCATGGACATTAAAACCATGCCAAGGATCTGCCTTATTCTAACGCAGAACATTTCTTGCAATATCCCTCCCATAAATAATTATAGTTCAGGCCTTATTTTCAAAGTGCAGGATGATTATCAGAATTACTTATATAAGATTTGGGTCACTTCAGTCAAGTACACCTCCAACTGTTAGGTATAATTGCAAAAACATTAGCTACCCTGGGTACACTCACAAAAACAGGAAAACATGAAGTCATAAAGAGACAGATTAAAACCTTTGTCTCTTTTTATGCTTTCATCCATTAAGAGGCACCTAACTTAAATCCTTTGGGTGAACTTTACTGACTTTCACAAGCAGCATTTCACCTTGTATGTGGGTTACATTTGATGATTTTGACATGAAAAGCATT